AGTTCCACTTGGTGATACACTGTTATATATAGATGTGATGTACAGGTTCGAAAAGCTTCTAAGGTCAAGCTCACTGCAGCTCGAAATAACACAAACAAATGTCATGAAACGTGCAACAATGTCTATCCCTGCTCCGAAAGAAACGTGACCTAGGTAACAAAGTCTTGAAATAAAGCCCTTTTCCCCATGTGCAGCTCGTACAATATTTTATGAAGGCTGTAACCAGTGGTTCTATTGTACTATTTAACAATGATGTATATGAAAACGCTTTTGGAGGGGCATTGCAGGTGTATGGTCAAAGATAAATATAACATAACATTCATGCGCATATCTGTTGTCCGAAAACCCTAAATATTAACCAACGGTCGTTATATCGACGAGTGTTAAGATATGCAATAACGTTATCGCTATGTATATGTACATGACGCACTAGTAAACAATCTTGACGACTTGTCTGGATTACTTACCCTCTGCCAATACTAGTGGGTAAATATGTCGATTATTTGTCCTGTGTATTATGCCATGGTTCTTCTCATGCTACTTCGCCGAAGGTGTTAGGTAAATCCACAATTCAAACAAAACGGATGGTTCATATATCACGATAACAAAAATGGTCCCGTTTTACGCGTGGTGTAGTTTCAAGTTCTTGTACTTTGTATGTCGTCCTGTCGCAATAGTATTTGTACGTACTATTGTATATAGTACAATTTCATGTTGATTTGTCATTAAGAGCTCTTTATTTAGTACAGCCGCTGGGGGACAAAGACATTCTACATTGCCTATAATGTACAGCAGTAGAGTTTGTCACAACGATGAACAACTTTATTAAAAGTCGCGATAATGATGCTTGAATGTGGATATAATTTAAAATAAAAACAAAATGAACTTATTTAAATGTCAGATCAAAAGGTCCGCTTGTAGTATAAAAAAGGGAATGTTATCCGCAATACAAAAGTAAAACAGTATGAACAATTAACATATAAATACAGTAACATAATAACAAAATTTAACAGTAGCAGCACAAAGCTAAACTAGTGAGAAGTGAACATGCCTCATTGTATTGAACTGAATTGTGATTTTCCACATACAATCAGACGACAGTAACTTGAATTAATCTGGAACATTTTCTCGTGCAGTTATTGGTGTATATACGAGATGATAGGTGGAATGAAAGTTATGAATTAAATCTCTTGGATTTCGCGAAATGAATATTTTTACATTTTTATCGCCAGGACAGACGCTCACGAAATCAATATATTATGGAAATATATTTTCAGGTATATTTAAGCTAATCAATAAAGAGATAAATGTATAAGATTTGGAAATAGACAATAGAAACACAATGATTTTATTTGATTGTAAAAGCAGAAAGCAAGGAACGTGCAGCTAGCGTTTTTCTCTTCGCAGATTGAAATCTTCGTTAACATATAATCACTTTTACAACTTTCAAAATAAATTGACGCAAAAATTAATTGATTTGCAGTAAATAAAATACCACACATAACGTAAATAGGCGGAGATTGCTTACTTTTTTTCGGATATGTAATTGATCCGTACAAAAGCAGAGGCGCCTCATAGTTAAATATGCTTGGGGTTATGGAGTTGCCACTCAGACCAAATGCTTTGGCGTAATTGCTAGAGTGTGATCTTTAATTGATACCTATCATATTCCGTGTCCTTTTTGACCTTCATAATGTTTACTTGCTCGTATTTACTGCTTAGTGGTAGTTTCAAATAACACCTGTGGCTTTTATCAACTGATATCTTCACGGAATGCGTCCTCATTTTAGTTATCGCATTATTCATTAAACTAGATTTCAGTAAAAACTAAACCTGGGTTTTTTTAATTAGAGTAAATATTTTAGTAAACTCATAATTAATAATTAACCGACCATTAAATCGCTTGTTAGAACGAATCTTTTAAACACATAAGTAATTATAAATCATACATTAGTCAGTGGATTCTTTTTCTTTAATTATAACCATGAAGTTTTCTGTTTACCTAACTGGGTTGTTTCAATGACCAACTTTAACACCATGATTTAGATATTCGGTTTCAATAGAAACCACTGATGAAAAATCGCAAAGTTGAATTTTGGAAGAGATAGCAGAGATAAGTATAATGATCTGATATACATTGTAGACGATCAGATACTGATTTAGCCTGCTATTTATAGTCTACGTATGCATACAATTTCGTCAAACCAGCGAAAGTAAGTCATTTGTAGTAAGAAGTAATGCACATCATCTATACAAAAGGAAACTGTTTCCATGTCATATGCGACTTATAAAACAAGCTGATTTTTTGTAAGAAACTAGTTTTTTCATGACAATCTTGTTATCAATATCACATGAAATCGACACGAATTCAAAGTCATTGTTATCAAATTACCAATAAAGTAGGGGGATTTTTGGGAAAATAATGTTTTCCCTGACTACCATTCGCCGTAGTGAGGAAGACAAAAGGGTTGTGTTCCCAGGCTGGGCGAACCAAAAATTAAAGTCCTTACAAATAGTGGTTGTTAGCTTCTATTGTCTACAATGCAATGTTACAATACCATAATTTCTTGTCCATTGTTTTTATTATGACGTCACAAAGAGTATTATTTCATGAGGAACTACCAAATAAAACATAACAATTTCACGGTATCCATGTTATTGATGTATGTCTATGTCTCGTTTATGATTCCATGTATAGTTTGTGTTTTGTGAATCTTGTTCTGGTCACAAGCAGTTTGAGCGTAAAAGCTTTTGCAACAAGTTGGAGTCAGACGTGTATGCTGCCATATAAGCGATTAAGCAGTTGCATGCACATGTTTCCGAGGGCGGTGGAGTGGCTTCTACATTATGTTAAAATGATAAAATTAACATGCACAGTCCAGCCACGCACCCGAGAGTATCCATACATTAGTCTTTTTATTTCACCGAATGTTCAAAATTTAAGGGTAGTAAATACTTATATTTCGGGTACTATAGTGGTTATTTCCGTTGTCGTGTTCAGACGATTTTCAAAACGAACAAGTGGATATACCAGAGGGAACGTAACAAAATATCCAAACTCTGCAGGAGGTAAAGATGTGTGTGGATGTATCACAATGGACTTTGCTATGGACCAGCCTGCGGGATTAAGTGTTGTGTAGTACTAGTGTGAATGGAGAAATTGGGAGTTGTGTTTTACCTTAAAATGAAGATTGGAATCAACAGAATATGCACACATGATTGTGTCGTTTATTTCTACAGAATTGTTTAACTTGAACTCTACATATCAGATGTCTGTGCCAAATAAAAAACAACCCTATTTTATTGTTATGAAATGAACCAATTGTAGCACAGTTAACTAACAAAAAGGCAGCGATTATAATCCAACCCCCTCCATTCCCAACGAACGTGGCTGGGTTGTGAGAGAGCTGGATTAATTGGACGTTAATGACTTGCATAGAACTATTCTTTCTGTCTCTGTCACTGTCTGAAGCGTTACTTAATTAATAAGACTAGTTTTAAAATGTTTACAGGGTATCATATATTCATTTTCCTCCACTTCGCCGCATTAAAGACCAGGATTTACTTGAACAACATAATTTCCGTTTGACGTTAGATGGAAGGTAGAATATGCATGCTTAACACTGAATAATTGCATGATCATGACTCTTGGACAGCTCAATATTAACAAAAGAGTTGTCACAGCATATAATAAATTGTAGTCGCTTGTATACATTTTCAAACTTAAAGTGTCGGCTTGTGGTATTATCAGTATTAAATATATTAAAAGGATAGACGGGTAATGTACGACCCTTAAGTAGGGACTCACTCAGAATTACACACGAAAAATAAATATATCATATTTCAATGTTTTTCATACAACAGATAGGTTGATTTTAACTGTTTGAAACTATGCTGTAATGAATTATACGGAGATATAGATATCAATCCAGTATCTTACTGGAGCTGACAACACAACCCCGTAATTAACTGTTCGTGCTTACTGCAGTGTATATTACAGGACGATCTTAAAGTCAGATGGCGGTAAAGTGGTCTTCAGTGTAGCATTTCTGCTACACTAGATGAAGACATGTGCGTTGACTTGCTTTTGTATACAGGTTGCCCTGTACAATCGGGTGCAAATCACTGTAAAAAGATAACCCATTATTATCGAACCCGAGGCGATTAACATTTTCGGACAAGCCGACATCAAAGACGGAATATGCACATTATTCAACCATATGCATATTACTGGCAATTTGTTCAAAAGTCATCCGAGATTCAGTTTATACCTATGACTGGTGGATGATAGAGACGAGTTTCGTACGCAATGTTGTGTTGTACACATTCTGCATTACATGACACGAGCAACGATATTCATTTCTATAGTAAAACTAGTATTACTTATATTTTATTTATCTAATTCATATAATTCATTTATTTTTCTTTACCTCCCCTTTTTGTTTCAATAGTAAATAAAATCAGTTTGAATTGCCATCGCTTTTACCCCTTTTACACTAATATGAGGCCTAGAAAGACGAGACAGCTGACTGTGACGGTGTAATTCGTTTTTTGCATGCTGTATCGATTGCAAATTGTAAAGGTATAATCACATGTGTTTGTCGCACGTTTATCTCACAGTAAAGTATAGTTTAATACAAGATGTACATGTTTTGTAGTCATTGACTTTCACACACACCATGTTATAAAAAATTGTCTCGCATAGAACAGGCATAATCCAATATGACATCACGTTGATTAACGAAGGTCAGTTGTATGGAAAATCTACATTTATATTTTGTTACTTGCATAACGGACTGAATGTTGTGATTCCTCCAATAGCGACATTGAGAACGGTAACTGGCTTTAAACTCCGTGTATTATAGATAATGCTAAAAAACGCTTTTTGTAAGGTAAACAAAACTGTTCGTCATTCAAGATCTGTCAGCTGTAATACATTTCAGAAACATATTTCTATTTTGTGATAACAAAAATATGAATAATTGAAAAAAACAACTTACCCACATGACTCAGTATAATAACGACTACTCCGAAAGGTTGCATGTTCCTAAATCCAAAACCGTAGCGGCTATTTTGTGGAGGATAAGGACATATCACAGCATGATACTGTTCATTACTGCTGTACGATTGTCTAGTGTAAGTATGTTTTGAAAAGATATACGCAGTAGTATATAGGTGTCTGGATGTCTGCGTCCTTTTGTATCCATTCCAGAGCGTTACCAATACCTACATACAATATAGCGAGTGTCAATTAGGTATATATATATATACTAATAAAGAATTGGGTCAAAGGATTATTTTCAGTGCCGTTTAAGGGCTTCCATTTAAATTGTCTATTATGTGGTGCTGTCATTTATCTATAGAAAACATGTTTATCTATAAAACAAATATGATACAATCATTAAGACAGGATCAGTTTTGGACTCAAGAGGACACTGGTCACGGGTCACCTGGTAATATTTCCGTGTGAAATAATTTTTATTTCACGTAATCATATAGAATGCATCATTAAAAAATGACAAGCGATATATATTTCGCTAATTGATTTTATGAAATTTCTCATTTATTTTCTCCCCATGTTTTTTTTCTTTTGACGCATTGAAAATTATTTTTCAATACAACATGTTTAAACGTCTATCATCGTTTAACAATGTGAAATGAAAAAGTCATTTGGAAAATACAAGGCGATGCTTTGAAAACACTGGCAAATGTTTCGGGAAATGAAACATGCCTGAACCTTATGCCGACGATGTGTTTCCGTTGTAATTATAACCAAGACAAGTATGGTATAGGTGCAGTTTTCCATATTGATTCTGTTCTATTTTAATACGACAATCCGTCCACAGGCGTCGAGGATTTAATCGAACAATAAGTGAAAATAAAGCATCGGTTTCCCAATGGAATTAGTTTAAAGAAGTTAAAGTGTATGTCTAAAGAAACGATACATGAAATATAAACTTGATTTATTTTTTACGTCACTTTTGTTAACCATTCTTGTTGGCTCGGATGGTAGCGCGAAGGTGATTATAAAGTGGAAGGACACTGGAGTACCCGGGAGTATCCATGCAGTCAGGCAGATCATTTTACCCTAGACGTCCTTTTGAAAGGAGAATGCGCTGGAGTGTGAATTTCAATTGATACCTATCATGTTCCGTGTCCTTTTTGACCTTCATAATGTTTACTTGCTCGTATTTACTGCCCCTCCCGAGCGCTATCGAAGCCTCTTATCTACCTCTTGTGAACGTTGAGTTTGGACAATTATAGGTGCAACAAGGCCAACTTAATACAGACTTGTCAAAACGTTCCACTGCATTGCAAAGATGTTGCGGTATATGTGATGTAGCATTCAAGTGCGGTGGCACTATGAATGATACCATTGGAAGCACGGTCCCACTACAAACAGAACACAATACATCTCCAGCACACACGCAAGCGCGCACACATAGGGAGATATTAGCCATGTGGCATATGACTAGTAGTTCGCGTCTGATAAGGCAGCTCCTGCGAATTCCTCAAACTTGTATTGATTAATTTATATGCTAATTGTATTGATTGTATAAATTGTTTATCTATGTACTGTAAAGAGCTTTAGAGTGGTTTATTCTAACTAGATAGGGTGCTATAGCAAATGCTGAAAGCATTTTCAATTAGAAGATATTATTTGTTGTCTCTTTATAGCTTTAAAATACCATGGCAAAATTAGTTTAAAACAAAATGATTTAAAAATGATATAGGTATATCGTTTTCATACATAACTAATGTTCAGTTCACACACAAAAACATAATCAATATTTAAAGTTTGCCAGCGGGTCACTCTGGGACTATTATATGTAAGGTTCAACAGAAGAAACTGTTCAGTAAATAAACAGTAGAGTCCTTGAATAATTAATTTAATACGACGTTAACATTAGGAAACTGAATAGGGCAAAACTCAACGTACATGATATAAACACGTGTATTGTGATTATAACGTAGTGCTCAGGGTGAATGATGTTCCCTTCTATATAGAAGATGAAGCAACACAAAGCAGTTTTTCTGTCCTAGAATGCCCCACTATCGATTTCATGTGCTTTCTGGCCTCTGATTTGAACACTCATTATGATGCCCTGCTTGTGTAATTCCTATAAATTCCTGTATGGCAACACTGGTAAAGTTTATTCTTTGTAATGTAAAGATTCCGAGTTAGACCCCAGCTGTTTTCTAAGACAGCCTGGGGTTTTTTTGGGTTTTTTTCATATACTCAAAATTCAAACAACTACAATTCTGTCAAATGTGAACGATTGATTTTTATAAAATTATGAACTGATCTCGATAAAATATTTCATAATAGTGACCGTAATCATAAATTAACCTATTACAATTTGCCGGTACCCTTTACCATTAGTAGAAATGTTGGAACAAGAAATAAGTAAGTTGATACACGTTCCTCTCATTACACGATGAAGAATGACACCGGGTTTCTGATTTCGGTGTTAATATGTAACACATTATCATGATGAACAACCCCACCTCGTACAATTCCGTCTTTGCGTATTGCAGAGTTATCTTCTCTTGTGAGCAGGGATTGATTGTTACATCATTGGTTTGTGTGAGAAAATTACGTCGTTTTCTCAAACATTGATGACGTTACTCTCACAAACAAATGACGTAACAATCAATACCTGCTCACAAGAGAAGATAACTCTGCAATGCCCAAAGACGGAATTTTGACTTGACAGCAACATCCCTGTAAGTCCGGAATTGAGGAACGAATATAATTGATGTTGCACACTGCATGTTATAAGAGGCAACTAATGTGATACTCTCTAAGTATGGAATTTGCCTTTGTGCCTCTTCCGGGGGGGGGGGNTTTTCACCCCTATGTAACTTTAGTAGACTATCACGCATTGATATGGATATGGTCTACAGTGGTGAAAGGATTAATGCTGAACGTTCGCCTAGGCGAGAAAAGCAGTTGGTTGTGTCACCAAGCCGGGACAAGTCAAGTCAAGTTATCTTTATTTATAGCCGGTACATTTATAAAAAAAAGGCAACAAAAGCCTTTTAAGACTTTTACAACCGACTGTATGACAAATGCAATTAATAACAATAAAAACAATTGAAATCGTATCACATCAAGCTACAGTACATACACTGTACTTATTAAATGAGTGGATAAATTAAGAATTATTTCACAGAATAACATTGCAGTTTATAGTAATATCACAGTCATACATATGTATAGTAATTTATAATGCTGCAATCTAAAACATAAATTTACAGATATCAAATGAGCACTTGGATATCACACCAGTGTTACTAACCCCCGAGACATGACACTGTCGTTACATTTAATTAATAAGTTATATTATAGTATTTCAGATACATATAATATATGTTAGACCGTTTCAAAGTCATAATTAAACAAATTGCCACTGGCTATGTGATGATGATAATAGAAGCTCTATCGGCACATCTGTTACCATTCCAGTATGATGTGAGTTTTTAAAAATCTATAAAAGAGGTAGCTGTCGGACAAAGAATTCCAAATAGTAGCAGCAGTAGTACAAAAGTACCGCTTTTGGCACAGGGTCATTGAGTGCAGTCTCCTATATAATCCTTACCACCTCCCTGCCCCCCCC